GGATTAAAAAATATGTATCAATATTGGGATTTTCTTTCGTCTTTTAATGATAATGTTATTAAGCTTATCAGACGATATGAAAAGAATTTACATAAAATAAATAGACAAAACTTGTCTATATTATTTAATAAAACATGCATCAATGAAAAAATACTGCTTAAATACACACAATAATATACCCAAGAATTACTTTCTCTCCCACTAGACACATCAAAACAAAAAAGCTGGGGTAAAATAAAATGCGAGGCCAATTTTACTAATTTGAGGCTTTCTCTGGATCAGCATCGCCTCGCCTGCTTCACAACCGAGTAGTGGCGCCTGGCTCAACGCAGTGCCCTCTTCATCTACTGGTACCCTTTTAGATGATGAGTGGACTCAAATTAGCGTCACAGATGCAGATGTGGAGCTTCCATTGATGAGTTTGGTTTGTATCCTCTCTCCTGTCGTCGTAGTGCCGGCCGCTTTCCACGGCATACAGCCATTAACGACATCATCAAAAGAGGTTTGGATGTAGCAAGGTTCCCTTCCCAAATCGAACCCGTAAGCCTCGACCGTGGTGATGGAAAGCGGTCGGATGGCATTACTTCCCTTTTAAAATGGGGAAGTCGTTGATTTGGGATGCGACCTGTGCGGATACATTTTCGACCAGTAATTTGATCAGGTCCGTGGTTGAGCCTGGGTCTGTCGCCCAGAACGCAGAGATAAAAAAAAAAATAGTTAAATATTCTTCTCTTGCTGATTATTTTTTTTTTTATTCCTGTGTCAGTGGAGACTTCTGGGGTTATTGGCCATCGTTCGATGGCGTTCCTTCGGAGGATTGGCGCCATAGCGTCTCGATTAAGGGACGAGCCTCGCGAAACGGAGTGGCTCTTGCAGCGTGTCTCACTGGCGATGGTTCGAGGTAATGCTTTCTCCATTGTTGCGGCTGGCAGAGGATAAAAAAAAATTGTTTATAATTACGTTGTTATTGATAGAAGTTGTGCTGCATCAGGCTTTCCAATTTGGTCGCCTTGAAAAAAAAAACAAGTTTATACCTGGCTCAGGATATTAAGAAGTGACACCTGAGAGAAATACGCAACTCTTTAAACCACCAAGTCTATCATCACCATTGTCATCATTATCATCTTAAGATAAGGGAACGCCAAAAGACATTCGTAGAAAATCAGGTCTCAAAATAAATGTGTAAAATATGTGTTTCAAACAATAATTTTAAATATATTCATGTTTAATTTTTAATACATAAGAATCACATAAGAGTGGAACAAATGTTAAATTTAGGTAAAATTTAAACGTTATAAATGCCAGTGCGTATTATACAAGAGATATATTCCAGAATTTCGTTGTCCAAAGGTAGATATACGTTTTATGCACGGTTGCGTAATATACATGTTTAATTACGATTCTTCGAGACAGTGAAAAGTTGGTTTATTCAATTTTTATGGAAAATTCCTCAAATTTTGTGGTCCCCTCTTGTTTGTTTGTTTGTTTGTATTTTTTTTCTTGAGTATATTTTCGCAAAAGCGTTACGATGAAAAAAAATAATAGCAAAAAGTGACCGTAAGAAACATGCGGGGGTGGTGGAAATTCCACAGGTGTTAAAATGAAACCCTGTCTCCACTCATTCCCTGACACTTTACCTGACTTCCTTCAACTTATACCTGCTAAGATTTATTATCTATCCGGCTGTTTTTATCTAAATTTTATACAAGCATTGCTTTAGTTTCATATCCCCTAAAAGCGAAGGAAGAATGTACAAACTGCATTCCTTCTTTCTATCTTTCTTTTCTCTCTCTTCCCACTCTCTCCTTCTCTTTATATATATATATATATATATATATATATATATATATATATATATATATATATATATATAGGTCGAGGCGACATTCTGTTTCATTGCGTCTAGCATGAAACAGAATGTCGCCTCTAAGTGTTGACTTTTATTTATTAATAAGCTATATATATATATATATATATATATATATATATATAGCTTTTGACTGGTGTTATTTTGTTTTAGAGCTTTGACAGTTAAATTTTTATTCCTGACAGGAACTCAGTCCACACCGGGGTTGATAAGACAGACAATCGATATCTTCGTCTGCCGAAATAGGCTATTCCACATATGAAGTGATTTTGGATTGTTTATTAATTATTTGCTCTGTAATAATAAATAATTTGATCTTTTTTTGTGGATCAGTTTTAATATCTTATATTACTAGGATCCACTTGGATTATATACAAACGGATTTGTTACCTTTAATATAACTTTACTATATATATGTGACACTATTTAGGGTTGCGTGAAAAAAAAAGAAAAAAGGCGAGCATTAAAATTAGGTGATAAGAATCTATCACGAAAAGACGATGTTATTTTTTTTTCTAACAAAGAAAAGTGCTAAAGGTTTTATTCTCATTAGCGAGGAAAGTAAGGTCGCGGATGTGTCAGATTTAATTTAATTTATGACGACGCACCGAATAAGATATAGCCAATGGCAAT